ATGATCGATACAAATATCGGATTTAATTCAAATATGTATGGTCGATACTGACATCGAATCATTCAAACTGTTATTCGATAAAGCTAGTCAAATAACTATATGTGTAGGTGGCAAGTAATGCCCAAGTGTACATGCGTATACAAGCTCAACAATGATAAAAGTACAAGATATATGTGAGGTGCTACAATAGCTCCCTTCCAGCAGACAAGGATACAAAAGTGTTTGTGTTTGCGAAAAAAATCATTCGAAAATATCAAAATTTTGCTGAAGATAAGGTTATCTTGTTCACGTAAGTTTAAGTTCGTGTGTTTGTGAGCTTGAATAATAACAAAAAATCAAAAATCGAAATACACAAAAATTTTCGACGTACAAATGCGAAGCGAAGAAAAAATTATATTCGAAATGGTGAAAGAACTTATCAATCCAAAATCGTAGCTATATATCTTTCCGGCCATCTGACCCTTCGTCCATTTCTAGTCGTTCGTGGACTTTCTTCGCTTTTCTGCGTTGATGTCCCTGATGGTTGTAACTCGCATTTCGGTGATTCGATGGCTTTCAAAGGATTTGTACTTATCGGCTGTTTGTCACTTTTAATAAAAGCTGGTTTGACTCGGTCGACGCTAACTACATCCGATTTTCCAGCTTTATCAACTGTTATAGTTTTATCGTTTCTTCTAATTACTCTAAATGGACCATCGTAGGTCGGTTGTAAGGGACGTTGCACATTATCTCTTCTGATAAATACATGGATACTGTCGTTCAGTTGTTTCGGAATATATACCTGATGTTTATCTTTCTTCAGAAGCGTTATTCTAAGCTCATTCATGTGTTCTTTTAGACGATGTACGTAGTTGGCTATATCAGTTGGAACACTTTTACTTGAGGTGAAAAACTCTCCTGGTAGACGTAGAGTAGTTCCATAAACTAACTCTGCAGGGCAACATCCAATATCTTGTTTAATTGTCGATCTTAAACTCAACATGACTAATGGAAGCTTGCTGACTCAATCATTATTGCTGATAACAGCTGTGAGAGATGCTTTCAGTTGTCGGTGTTATCTCTCTACCATACCATTCGCCATCGGATAGTAAGACGTTGTGCATATACGTTTAATGCCTAGTTCTGTAAGTTGTTGGAAAAGGCGACTTTCGAATTGGGCTCCTCTATCGGTTGTAATATTAGCAGGCAGTCCATAATATGAGATCCAATATACGACTAAGGTTTTAGCTATGGTCCCTGCTGAAATATCTTTTATGTGCACTGCTACAGGCCATCGGGTTTATGTTTACCTTGCCGAATGGAGTTTCTCGGAGTACTAAAGAAGTTGTACTGGATGATCTTAGCCTGCTTAGCTCAACATCCATATTTTGTAATGCTGCAAGTTTGTGATAATCAATGTCAAACTGGATGAGAGCATTAATCATCGTTCTTGATAATGCATCTGTTACTTCGTTATTATAACCTTTAATATATTGTATGCTAGACGTAAATTAGGAAATAAACTCCAATTGTCGGATTTCCCTCGGTGAATAGTTGTCATGCTTGGTGTTTAATGCTTTCGTGAGAGGTTTATGATCTGTGTACACTGTAAAATGGTGCCCTCAAGCATATGTCGAAAGTGCTTTATTGAGCTATAAACTGCTAGCAGTTCACTTCTGAACGTACTGTATCTCGTTTGCATGGGACTTAATCTTTTAGAAAAGAATGAAATTGGTTACCATGTGTCGTTTACAAACTGCTGTAACACGGCTCCAACAGCGATGTTCGACGCGTCAGTTATGACGGCTAATGGAGCTTCGTCTTTTCGTCGTACTAACATTGTCTTCTCATTTAGCGTTCTCGAATGCCTGTATGGCGTCTGGTGACAAGTGAAATGTTCGGGCATGTCCTCACAAAGCGTCTGTTAAAGGTTGCAATATTGTTGCGCAGTTTGGAATGAATCGCCTGTAGTAGTTAATTAGCCCGAGGAATCGTCGTAATTTCCTTTGTAATTCGGGCAACGGATAATCGCGAATAGCTGCAACTTTTGATGGAACTGGTGTGATGCCTTGAGAATTTATTGTGTCCTAGAAATTGCAGTGATTTCTTTCCAAATTCACATTTCTCAACGTTAATGGCGATACCGTGTTCTTGTAGTTTATTGAACAACTGTCTTAAGTGTTGTAGATGTTCTTCCGGTGTAGCACTAGCGACAAGTATGTCGTCGGTGTATACATATACCCCTGACAAACCTCTAACAACCTGGTCGATGAATCTTTGGAAGGTTTGAGCTGCATTAGTTAATCCGAATGGCATTCGCAAAAAATTCGAATAATCCGAATGGAGTGATTACGGCCGTTTTCGGTATATCCTCCTGCGCCACGGGGATATGATAATAAGCTCTTCGAGAAGATAATGGCACCTTTCATGTCGTTAGTAATGTCATGGATATGTGGCACTGGATATCTATCAGCAACGGTTTGTTCATTAAGAGCTCTATAATCTCCATATGGTTTGTACTGTCCATTCTTTTTCCATACCATATGCAACATAGATGCCCAAGGACTACTCGATAGCCCTATTATACCAAGTTTCATCATTTTGTCAAATTCCTGTTTCGCAATGTTTAACCTTTTTGGGTCTAGGCGTCGTGGTCGTGCGTTACAAGGTGTGCCTCTTGTTACAATGTGATGTTGCACTGTATGTTTGGGATAACTGTTGTCGTAAGACACTTTCGTCAAGTCAGCGTATTCGTTTAGAAGCGATTTATATGGATCGTTTTTGTCTCTTGACACTACTAAATTCATAGATTCGTGGTCAGTGATTATTCCTCTTATCACCACCGTACGGTCTCTGTTCAAGAGTTGGTTTCGTCAAGAATCTACTAATAAGTCGAAATTCTTTAAGAAATCAATACCGATTATAGGTACCGATACATCTACGATAACAAACTCACATCGAAGCGAAATTTTTTGACCGAAATCTTAAGTTATTTTTCACTTTCCTTATGGTTTTTATGTCGGATTTGTTTGCTGCTTGTAGTGTTAGTGCCGTATTAATATTTCGTCGTTCAATACTCACCGATGGCACGACGCTTATTTCAGCTCCTGTATCTACCAAAAATTGGGCACCTGTTATTTTGTCCTGAATGTAAAATAATCGACTGTTTTTTGGTGTTGCGCCAGTTGTCGCAGCCGTTAACGGCAACCGGCGGGACCGTTTCCCTGTTGTACTAATTTGAACCCGCATGACGGTCTGCACGTTTTAGCTTGGTTGCCGTACGTCTGGTGATACCAGCATAACGGATGTGCTGCACGTGTGCGAGAGCGTGATCGATAGTTTTCGTGAGACCTACTTCGTGATCGTCTTTTTGGTCTCCGTTTCAGATTTAGCTCGGAAAAGTTTTGAGATAAATGGCGAATCTCTTTTTTTATATCTTTGATTACAGTTTTAACTGATGTATGATGTTTCTGTGGACTCAAGATTTCCATTCCTTCAAAGATCTTATCAGCTATTTCCGCAATATGATCTATAACTACTTCTCTGTCGTCGATTGCAAGGATTTGCTGAATATTTCGGGGTATTCGCCGGAGCCACAATTGATAAAACATGTTGCTGTCCATCTTTCTGTCGCCTATTATGCTCCTCATGTAATTTTTTAGCTGTGACGGAGTCTTGTCACCAAGTTCTACTCGATTGAGGAGTTGGTGTAGGGCTTGTTGGTCGGTCAACGAGACGGCCTTTATGACAGCAGTTTTTAATACGTCGTATGGCATCTCTGGGTCCGGTTTAGCTAAAACATCGCGAACACTTTCAGCTACTTCGTCTGGGAGTAGTGCACATGCGTAGCCGAATTTATCTCGTTGTGAAATAACACGATTAAGTGAGGTAATTTTCAAGCCTATATGTGAGGTGCTACAAACGAATAATGGGCTCAAATACTGAGTACAGAATTGCAACCATTTACAGTTAGCTGCTTTCTAAAAGAATACCCTTATATCAAATAATTTAAATTCTAGCGACCATATAAATGTTCGTATATAAAGTTTCAATCCATAAATAATGCATGCACTAAAGATACTATTGCTCGGCTATCCAAACATTAGAATATAGATGGGCTTTCAAGAGCATTGCTAGTTAGAAGTCACGTGTCTGAAAATAAAGACAAAACCTAAGTGAATACAAATATAAAAATTCGATTTGGTAATCACTTAAGTTGTACTTTGGTACATCAGCATGATAATAACCAAAACAACACAACGCACACTGGCACTAGTTTGTTAAATTGATGGGTTTACGAGAATTAAACATTATAATTAATCGAGTAATTTTACAGAAACCCAAAACCAATCTAGGATTCTATTTTATTGATATTCATTACACGTTAAATGACTTTTTTAAAGAACAAAATTAGGTAAATTGAGAAAACAAATTAATTTAAATCTGATAAATATTAAACCATGATACGTATGAATCAATAAGAAGGAATACTTTAAGAGTAGAAATTTCAATCACAAACATTTTTCCCATAATGGTAAATAATGACACGAACAATAGGAAAAAGAAATAGTACAGAAATGAGTTTATTTTGTATTATTATCTGTGAAAATCAATACAACGATGAAATTGATAAAGACAAGAAAAAAGGGCAGGGTACAAAAATAATGATAAAAATGAATGGTGGTGATGCTGTGAAACAATTTCAACACACATACACATACACATAAACAGATACATTTAACAAGTGTAATACGAACAACAAAAAATCAAGCAGTGTGTACCTTTATCTTTGGCCTGTATCTTTTTAAAAATTCATCCATATCAAAGATGAGGTAATAAACAAAATGTGTATTGGCATTGATAAAAAAAGCACAACCAATATACATCGGAAAGATAATCATTCATAAAAAAGAGATAGGTATTGAGTGAAAAAGTAAATTCATTCGAGAGAAAAAATCACTACGAACATTATATATATATATATATATATATATATATATATATATATATATATATATATATATATATATATATATATATATATGAGATATGTATGTGTGTCATTAAATCTCTGAGCCTAATATTAGAAAACATTTCATCAATGAGAAATTGTTGATACAAGATTAGTAGTAGAGTTAGCGATTACAAAAAAGAAAACATAAGTATGTATATTTATAGTATAGCATATAGATTATGATAATATACTGTGCAATATCAATCATTATCATCACTATTTGTAAAATTTGTCACGAGATAAAATAGACAATATTTTGCAGTAAAGAAAATAGTGGTGACGTTAACAAGACGTTTGAATGGTCTGTGTTGTTTAAATTGATCCAGTAAAAAAAACATCGAATTTCTCACCTAATTTTCGAGTAGATATCTTTTTGAATTTTCTGTGCCTTGCACTAAACAATAAGTTGTTTATTTATTGTTACTATTAGTGTTGAGATTTGCTATTGAACACCCCAGTCTGCCAAAGTATAATTATCACAATTACCAGAAGTATGCCACCGACAACGCCAACAATAATCATTTTCATTCGGAAATTTTCCCACCAAGTTTTTCGGGCCACTTTAGTAGCTGTTGTTTGGAATTGGTTGGCCTTGGAAAAAACAATTATGCAATCTAATTGTGAGTTTTATGCGTAAGAAACTATAAAAATGGATATTCAAACATTTAAAGTAATTAGTTTCTTTGATATATTTGGATAGTGTAATAAAAAGACAAAGATTATCAGACCAATGTGATATAACAGCGCAGTACCTTTTGAAAAATTTGGTCACACGTAAACTTGTTAAGAACATTTATACATGAGAAATAAAAGGTTAAATAGGCGAATTGAGTTTAAGATGCAAGGACAAGGAAATAGTGCGGAAAACAATGTAGAACTCATCATCTTGGATGATAAAACAATATTGCCAAGAAAGATTCAAAATGAGAACAAATTGTTTTTGAATAAATAAAGAGGGTTTAAACTTTCGTATGACCGAGGCTTCAATAAATCTTAATAAACGCTCTTGAAACACTTTTATACATCATAAAAGCCAATCTTACCAACAGTTTTACCTGTGTCTGGTAACAGAGGACACCGCTCAGTTCGTATTGGGTCATTTGATTTTATTTGTTTTTGCAGCCATTTAGATACATGTTCAGACACTTTAATTTGCAAATCACATTTACTCTTATCCATGTACGTGTAGCCACACACACATTTAAATTGATAAATGCAATGGGATGATGTAGTCAGTTGTATGCTTTTTAGGTTTTCGATGAAGTATGGACCTTACTTTCCTATGATGACTTTAGTGCATAGTACGTTTTGTCGATAACAGATTGGAGCTTTGGTTCCAATATGAGACTATTTGACTCATCTAAAAACGGTAAATTGACGTAAACGGGCTTCTGTGCCAAAAGTGGAGTAGATCTCACTACTCATCGATTTATGAACTTTAAGGAATAGCCATTCTTCATCAAAGTCTCTTTCAACAACTTCACTTCCTTTCAATAGCAGTGTTTGCACAAATACGATCACTGTTACAAAATAGCCCCTTTATCAAATCCTGTTTGTATTGAACTAGGTAATAACTATGATAGCCAAGGTACTGGCAAGTCCAAGTTGGCTTTCTAAGAATGGATCGTTTCCCGTCTATTTATAAGCATATCTCTAGAAAAAGATGGTGATTGGTCTTCTCCTCTTCACTAGAGTGTTATACTTATTCACCAAACCATTCATATCCTCCTATTCATTACTGATTGTTCAAAATCTATTGCGCTAAATCTGATAATCTTCCTCTTTGTATTACACTATCCAACTGTTAATCTTATCTTTAAGTTGAACATGGTCTTTATAATCCTGTTAATAGTTAGAGGAAATAGATAGGTAACTGGAGAGTAGAGGCCACTTGGACTGTTCCTTAATATTTCTTAGAATGAGAATGGATTACGGTTCCGTTTTTCTAATCATAATGCTGAAGTTCTACTTTTCTCGCAGGTTACAGGACTATCAAAGCTTTAAACTAATTATACAGTTCTTATGAATAATTCTACTGCAATAAGTACAGTATTCAATATGAAAGCTGTTAGTGCCTTATCTATAATAAATTTCCCTTAAATACATTACGCCCTAAATGAAAAATTATAGAAGGAAAATTGAAATACACAAACTATAACAAATTTCTGCATCATTATGAGTAAAAGAGAAAACTATGAATGAATGTAAGTATAACACAATAGCCGTGACATATGACCCGGTAGGAAATTTCATAAGTAAACGGTTGCGAAGGAAAACAAAATGCGTTACCGTGGCAGAATAATTTACAATGAGAAAAGAAAAAAGTTGCATACCAACGGAAAAACGGAGCGAGAATAATTGAACGAAGAGAAGAATAATAAACAAAGTAAATTAATATCTGTAAACATTGATTTTAGTACATAAAGTTACAATCATTAAAGTAGCAAGTTAATATTATAGCCTACGTTCCTGTGCAGATATTATCCAACTTAAGTTAGTCAACAAGATAAGAGATAATAGTGCAAGTTTTGAATACAACTAAATGAACTCACTAAATGAATTGTAGAAGAATTGACGCATAACAATCAGAAAGAAGATTTGCAGCGCAAGTGGATGATTTTGGCAGAATTTCGTTCTCTGATCTGGATGGTTCAGTCATGAAGCTTTCATTATTCTTCGCAACAACATCCATACAAACTTCAGGTATACATAAAGACTACGGAAGGGTCTCTCTGAGTAGATTGATCAGAGTTATGATGACTCCTGTTCGGTTTTTGACCGGAAATCAAACAGTAGTAAAGGGTCTTATCAGGAACTAAACAAAACTCGCCCATATCTGGTTTTCAAAATATTTTAAATCGGCAAAGAAATAATCTTTAAGTAACCACACAGTGAATGTGGAATGGTGTGAGCTGAATTTCGAAGAATGCCTGCAGTTGATGCAGATAGTATGTATGTGCGGTTTATATGATTTGAAGTATGATCAACGGTGCTTGTGCGGTCAAGAAGTATTTTATTACTCAAACACTAAACAATGGGAGGATACGATAATTTATGAACGAACTAACTAGATTTTAGATAGATTTATTTGATAAAAAACTTTCTAGTAGTGTTAACACTACTAGAATGCTAAAACGACAAGTCATTTAGTTATTAACAAAATCGTTAGATGTGCTCACGACTTTGGATTCAATGTAAAATAGTGATACAATAAACTAGACCTTTTGTAGATCGTTTATCACGTGCATGTTTAGATAATTGGTTATGAAACCCACTACTTTTATGTAAGCTAGTGATACTGCTTGAGTGCTCAAATTAAAGTAGGTGAAGTTGGATTCGAACCTTTGGTTTATTGAATACAAGACAAATGCTCCAACGATTAAATCACTACTTTATAAGACGCACGTCGGCTGAATACTGTCCGACTCAGTGTACCCGTGGTCCGTATAATAAGATGGTTTGATTTCAAGTCTAAATTCAGGCATATACGTTTTTCCATGGCTAGAGTGCTGCAATTAAATATTTATGATATAAGACAATCTTGTAATGAAAACTAATTATCATAATAATTCAAATATAAGCAAAAATTAAAGCCAAAAGTGGTACGAAACTAGATAAAATTGCAAATACTTACGCTGACAGCAAGCTCATCTGTTTTACTGACCAAATTGTTCAACCGATCACCTCGTTGAAGCGCCAGTCTAGTATTTTCTTGCATTACAGCTGTTACAGTATTTACATTACTACGTAATTGATTCAACGAACCATTTTCCTTAAAAGAGTCGAATCGAGACTGAAAAATACAGTGAATATGGGGATATAATGGTCGGTCAAAAGAGCAATGATAATATCAGTATGGATAAAAATGAAGTGAATTTCGCAGTTCGAGGTATGTATTGTTAAGTTATTAAAGGAGATAATTGCAAAAGCAAATGAAGTATATTGATTTCATAATATAGTTTCACATCAAATTCAACAAACTAAGTAATCAGTCAGGGACTTTACCTGATTACCCTGAGTATTTCAAAATAATAACCACTGTAATAACTAGGAGAAATAGAAAGGTTGGTAGTATAAAAACAATTGAAATTGATAATAGTGAATGAAAATGAACTTTGATAAAAAGAAAAACATACCAGTAGAAACAGGGATAATACGAATAATCAATAACTAACAAGATATTTTAATATCTAGTAAAAAATGAAGGAGTCCGTCTCCATAAATGCTACGATTACACAAGACACATGTACTTAGATTAGTGCTTTTCTATGAACAAAGGAGTGTTTAATTGGTAACAGATGTTTACCTTCCTGCTTAAAAGTGTTTCTTTTCGTACTTGAAAGAAATAATTGTCACCCATTAACTGACTAGTTCCCTTTTGAATCCATTTGTTTGAACATTTAATTAGCACATGTTTAACAACATCTAGCGATGTGAACACTAAAGATTCACCAAAATCTGATATGAAAACAGGAATATGGTATTGCTCGGTGTCAATAGACAAAGATTACTGGGAGATGAGGATTTATTTTATTACCGGAACAAGTGCGAATCCCAGTACTAACGAACACACCTTTCTTCTGTATCAAAAACCAAACCTTACTCTAAATTTTGGAGTGAAGCTGGAATTAAAGATGACTTTAAGACTTCATATTTTTACTGAGTTATCAACAACAGAAAAATTTAGAAACCCTAGCATTAATATTTCGATTAACTTGTTAATCTTCAAACTGTTCATCAATCGGTAGGGACATATTCAATATCTGTAAGTCAGTAACGGTAGATTTGTTTTAACTTTAGTTTGGCAAACTAAGTCCAGTTCAAACACGACATACCGCCCCCATTTGAATATAAAGTTCTAGCTCACATTTTGTTACTTTTTAAAGCTCCGTTTTTAGTTTTTCAACATGTGGAAACTAACTGTCAACCTGTTATCAGCCTAAAGAATGACAATAAATTGGTCCACAATCGAAGAAAGTTGAATGCTATGAACGCTTTTGCTTTCAAGTCTGCCCATCAAATAAGTATTCACAACACCTGACTATTTGTAAAGAAAAATTAACGTTCATATCAAAAACGAAATAACCTGTCGTTATTTAAGGTCTGAAGAGGAACAGACCATTCAGAGTCAGAAACAGGTAAAACACAACTAGTGGTCATTCTACCTGCTAAAACTCGAGAACCGTGCTTAAAAATCTCAATGCTCGCTGCTCTCCCTCAATTCAGATTTTCAATAGCCTTTCCTACTTCAATAATAGTCAGAGGATTTACATCAATTCGCCAGTCACGTCGACTGGAGGTCGTGGGTAACCGAAGTGTGGCTGAAGGCTAGTTGAAATGCCCCCTAAAGTGTTCCACCAACCGATTCAATCTCCTGGATTCGGAATGAATAGTATGGTCATCTTTGTCGGAGATAGTCTCGCTAAAAGTCGGATTTCTAATACTCGTTTCCTTGATTAGTCTGAATAGCTGTATACTGTTACCTGTCGTCGCTGCCTTTTCCATCTCTCCTGCTTTCGCTACTCACCACTGTTCGTGATCATTGCATAGGCTTCTTATCAGCTCGCACTTAAGCTGACTACGCTCCTCATCATGTTCAGAGCCAAATGGTATGAGTTTTCGAGCATCTATCAGTTCGGTAGATGCTACTGAAGTCCACTGACACTCCCTAACCTTTTGTTTTACCATAATGGCATATATCACAACCTTTTGGATATTATTCCAAGCTGTATCGGGATGGACATCACTTACATGGCTGTCTAACTGTTTCTCTGGTTGCTCCTGAAATATATTCTTAACTTTGCTGTCATTAAGTGGAACTCTAACGGGTTTCCTTACAGTGTCTTTCCTACGTCCAGTAAGACACAGAAAAATATCTGCTTGTACCAGAACGTGATCTGAATCTAAACATGTGCTCCAGAACGAGCGGCAGTATTCTATCGAGCCTCTCTATCGGTGGCTGATAGCAATGTGGTCTAGTTGGGTCCAGCGTTCAGTCGACTTTGGCGGTCGCCACGTCGAAAGATGTTTCTCCTTGTGCTTAAAGTCAGTATTTGCTAGAAACAAGCGGTTATCCAAGCACGGTTACAGAAGACGGTCGCAACTATCTGGTCTTTAAGCTGCGACACCGTGGAACCTACCTAGGTGTCTTTCCCTTTCGCCTCATCTACCTACTGGAGCATTAAAGTCATCCGCCATCATTACTGCAACACAGTGCTTAGCATTTTGAAGGAGGTATGATAGCTTACTGTAAAACTCATCTCTTACACCATCTGAACTGCCATTGCAAACCATTTTGAGCCATGTCGTTCAACTTCTCTAACCGTCGACTATTATCATCTCGCGGACCTCAACCAGGTAGTCGACATCTACCAACATGACTCAGTTCACTTGTCAGCGACTTCATGGATTTGTGCCATGTTTTGGTTTGGCCACAACTAGCTTTTTTCCAACTTACTCCTACACCACAAAACGTAGCTCGTCGAGGCAGTCGGTGGTCGGGCATTCGTAACACATTTCCCAACTACATCAACTGATGAAGTTTCAATATTTCATCTAATGATCTGATATCCTTACCTAGTTCTCGTTTCCTAACGACAGCATTGCTTACTCGGTCGTCTCAGGATGCACGAGCAATGCTTCGAAGACATCTATAATCGAATACTAATAGCCTACGAATGTCCGCTGCTCTCACACACCTTGGTTCGCATCCGTACAGTAGGACGGAGTGAACTACTGCGCAGTACACTCATCCTTTGGTTAGCAAACCGATATCTGTCCCACACCATGTGACGCAAGTCGGTAAAAGCCAATCATTATTTTTCATACCACGGCGCTACACCATAATCGATAGATTTAAGATAATAAACTACTAAAAGGCTAGTTTTGATTCTTCATCAAACCGATTGAGGTGATCATAATACACTGAGAGGAGATAGCAGACTACAGTTGAGATCTGAAAAATGGACTAATATCTCGAGAATTTCTAGGACGTCTGTTAATTAAAATTACGGAGCTAGTGTTGGAAATCACAAACCACACAATGTTTTCAAATACTGAGTGATCTTTTGGTCAGAACATTTAAAATTCCATCTTTATGGTATCAATCAACTATAACTTACTTTTTAAAAAATTACAGAAATGATTTAGTATAACTTACCATAAGGTCACGTAATATTAACTCATAGGAAGATTGTAAACACCGCTCAGTACCATCTTTAGCGGTTTGAAGTGTCGCACTATTCTTGAAAAATGTGTCACAAACCTATAAAACAGCGTTGAAAAATAAATTTTAACTTAGGTTATCAGGAAATTTAGTCGCTTTTGGGACTATTTTGATAGATGTGTGGTAGTTGGAGAGTTTAATACGGCTATCGATCATGGTTTCCAACTTAACACAAAAAAGAAACCTAACCTCAAGTCAGGAATTTTCATGAACTACATCGTACGCAATTCTTAAGACGGACTACACTGCAAAATTGTGCGTCGAAAACCAAATACAGACTCATTACAAGTGAAGACCGGCGTTAGACAAGGTTGCTTACTTTCATCCTTTCTCTTCTGGTAGTTGACTGGGTTATGAAAACCTCAACATCTTAAGGGAAGCAAGGGATAGAATGAACAGTTTGAATTCGGCTGGACCATTCGGACTTCGCAGATGACCTAGCTCTTCTGTCACATACACAACAACAAATGCAGATGGTCGGTGTAGCAGCAGCAGACCTCAACACATAAGGGAAAAAGTAAGACCCTTAGGCACAACACAATATTCACAAGCCAAATCACACTCGACAAAAACCTTGAAAGATGTGGAAACCTTCAAATGTGTGGGCTGCATCATTGATAAACGAAAGGGATCTGATGCAGATACGAAGACACAAATTAGCAAAGGAAGGGCAACGTTCCTACAATTGAAGAACCTGCAACTCAAAATAACCGTCAACCAACACCGAACTCATTATTTCTAATGCAAACGTCAAAACTGTCCTATTGTATGAAGCAGAAACTTGTAGAACTACGAAAGCCATCATCCAACAGATACAGGTGTTTATTAACAGTTGTCTACACGTAAGACATTCCGGATCTGTCAGCCAGACCCTATCGGCAACAATCTACTGAGAACAAACCAGATTCCAACTGAGGAAGAGATTAGGGAATAGCGCTGGAATAGATAGGACGCACATTGCGAAAATCGCCAAACTGTGTCATAAAGCAAGCCCTAACTTCGGATCCTAAAGACCAAAGGAATAGATGCAGACTAGAGAACGCATCGCACTCAGAATTGGATGCAGACATGGAAAGAATGAGTAACAACTAGGAACAACTAGAAAATAACCCAGGGCAGAGTTAGTTGAAGAATCCTGGCCGGTTGCTTATGGTTTTCGAGGGGTAATAGGTAGAAGAGACTTTGGAGCACGGAAATTTATATCACACTACCCTACAAATTCTATCCCACGATATCGGTTGAGCAAGTTATTATGTTCACATTTATTTATTTATTTATTCTATTTAAACAGATTAATATTGATACATAGGGGCACTAATATATTCATAAGCCATACAGCCCAACGAATTGGTGTAGGCTGGGATACTTTTCAGGCGCCCGGCCAGGTATTTTGTAGGCCACTGCCGAAGATTTCGACTGATAGATCTAGTCGAGAGGCAGCGGAGCAGCGTCAGGGGGTGTGGTTCCATTGCAGTCAATGACCAACAAGTTTATACGCCATTTGTTACCTCATGGTCCTCGAGCCCATGCGGTGCCGATGTGGTATGGCAACATGAACTGATGTACTTACGTACCAAGTTCTACGTTGCATCTGACTGAGCCCATGCACACCAATAGTTAAGGACTGTCATTTTTTAAGTCCCTATGTAAACTCACCAAGGTACCCAACATGGTTAAGGCACCGGACACTTGCTTTTTGTTCTCTATTTTGTAAACACCATCCCCGCGAGAAGACTGATAAGGTCTTCCCTGTTGGTTGTTATACGTACATGGCCATTTGAGAGCATTTACAAAGTGGAGGGAACTCTTCCAGCCCTCAGGTGCACCTGGACATTTGGGGACGTTTAGCAGTGGTAGTATATTTGACCGTCATTTCTATGGAATAAGTCGGTCTTGAATTACTGTGACAGCTGGGACCACTACCTATGAAATCATGGAAACGTCAAATTTTAGCAGCCCAGTAGTCGGTGGGATTTTATACTTGATATATAAATATGGTTTTAACTACATACACATCACAAGGGTTAAACTGCATGTGTGCAATGAACCTTAAATATCTCAAGCCTACCATGGACATCACGATGCAGTTCTAGAGTAGTTCTAAAACTCCCTCAATTTATTCACTAGATGGCATCTATAGTTAGTACGGCCAACACGCAGAGGCGCCTAGCAAATGGAAGGAAACTCATCTGTGAATATCTTCGCACTACTGCTCTATGACCTACAGTGTAAGAATTATGTCCACATCAGTACAGTGGAACATAGGGACCACTTAGAGAAATTATCACTCATGAGCCGTCCATGAATTAAGTTAGGCGGCTTGAATGCCTAATTGTACACTAAGACTATATTAATTTCGAGACTGGGGCGTTGAATACCATTTTAATACATGAGTAAAAGAGAATCTAATAGATATTAAAAAATTAAGTTCATCTGCGAACTGACTAACCTTGTCGACAAAAGCCTTGGACTGTTGACGAGAGGTATCCTGAGAGGTTACCGCGATAAATGAAAGGTTTTGGGCAGTTTTGCAGTGAAATGAGACTCTAAAGTGGAAATATAACGACTTCAGTACTTACTTGTCTTTGTTAAAACATATATCCTGATCTGTAGGATGACATGCTAGATAACTATATACTGCACTGTCAAAGCTGTCATTTGTGATTGGGTGAGAGCAAAGAATGTTTTTCTCATTTGTTATAGCGAAATAGTATAAGCTCATCGTGCAGGTGTAACGGAGTAATAGTCAACTAGGCTGGCATTTCAAATTGTGCACTTATTTGGTTTGAACGCTATTAGAGGCTCAATGGTGTAACAATAAGTTGTTTCAGCATTCAACTGTAATGTTTAAGGCGCAACTTGAAATAAAATTGTTTGACAGATAACGATTAATGAGCCTCTAATACTCCGGACTAAATAATATATCTTTTTCAACCTAATGAAAATAGATTCGAGTATTATATATAACTCTTCATCTAGATATTAATTAACTTCCTGTCGTTCTTAACTTCTAGCTTTATTTTCTTCGAAATCACTGTCAAGGAAGGAATTTTGGGGAGTAGCGTTGTCAAAACCCGAATACTCTTCACCACTATACACGTATAACTGGGGGAATGGTCGTAAACAAAATAAAAAAGCCCTTATGTTTATTAATAATAAATAAATCCCGAAGTAAATAAAAATGTTATTGCTTGATATTGATTGGTTTTAGTGGACACACCCTAGCTGAAGGCACTCCGTCATGCATCCCCACCGTTAGATACGCTGAGCTATACACCCTTCGCAGTGACCAACCACCTTTGATAACTCAATTCTCAACATTCTAGCTATCCTTAGATCAAACTTCTACCTCCATCCATGGCTTTAGGTTTGGTTTGACTAGGAGTATTTTCGATTAGAAGGGTTTTACGGACGAGTTCTGGTGAGAAGTCGTGACCAGTGGAGTTTAACCCTGCTGGAGTATGAAGCAGTGCCCACCGAAGACAGTGGGAGAGGTTGCACGAAAACCGTAGATTGATTGAAGTTGTCAACACCGTTGGATGCAGGATCAATTGTCCGGAGGTTAAGCCTTCACGCGCAAGATCGAAGGTCCTTGGTTCTAATTTTGCAAATCTAACAACTTGTCAAAGTCGCATATAAAGTCGAGAAGCGACAATATAATGACGAGTCTGTAAACTCTAAATGTTTCATTAAAACATGAGTCCCAACTGACAATTATCAGTATAACACACCTACATTTCTAATCCAGGTTGTTCGAACAGGGAGACGACTGAATATGAGCTGCAAAAACAGCACACAACCAGTTAAACTTAATCAGTTAAAGATTATTCCATCGAATTTATTACACGAGATGACCTAAACGAACTTGAATTCACCTCACGGGACAAGTTTAGGACACCAAGACACTCCCCAGCCAAAACATAGGAGAGTAAAAGTACGAAATCTTTAGTATCAAACAAGGAGATAGTTTTTCTCCACGGCTCTTGGCTACAATGAAAAGGTTTACTCCTCAAATTCCATGTAATGTACACCTAGGCTCTCTGAGTTTCGTGGCTGGTCATAAGGGCAAGTACAAACGACCTCTAGATAGGCAGACTGATAATAACAGTGTTTATCTTCAAATAGCAGTATGTTGCGTGAGTTGCATCAGTTTACAGACGAGATCAAATAGTTACCGATGCTACTGCATTCACCATAATAGGTTAATTAGTTAGATTAACATTGATATTCTTTTTCTGACATAGCAAGTTAAAGCCATTATACAAACATGCAACGTGTGACACGGCTACATTTTTAACAGGTGATTACAAACAGTATAGTTATACTGCAAAGTTCGAAAGTGATATGCATAATTCAAGAGCGATTCACGAGACGTTAAATGAGATTTACCTGCAGAGTATTTGTAGGATGGAATAATTAGATGAGTTCATGTTTATTACAAATTTTCGATTGGGAGGCACTTGTTAGAAGCAGTAATTTTAATTAGGCAGTACATACCTATGGCTAGGCATGTAGCTCAAGTCATTTCACATAACATGCAGATTATGAGCTCACTCTTTCCTCACAGCATCCTCACCTTTTCCTTTGGTCTAACAACACCTCATAGTAACTGCAGCTACTCGTTTAATAGACCCCGATTCGAACCTTATCACCGACAAAATGAGCAATCGAACAACCATCCTACGATCCTAATCCTATATCACACCGACGAGAGGTTATAATAGCTTCTTTGCTCGAGATACCGTCAATTATTTTAGCTTAGTGGGACATTTATTTAACATGTCTTAATAACACTCATTCAATCTGCAATAAAGTTACTGATTTAGGCAGGTTCGCATCCCTCAATCAACCATCATTAATAATGATATCTGAAGCATGAATCACCAGTAATATTTCTGATGTAAGTAGCGTGAGATAAAGAACTATTATTCTTTGCGAGATTACTAAGTTAAATCCCAATAGATCTGGAAGTCAGAGAGAAGACTGTTCTGAATGAAGGGGTATATTTGTTCGTGGCCTCATAATATCGAAATAATATCAAGACCGGAATAAGGAAGCGGCTAACAACCACCGAGTAGAGAAGCGTAATGGGAATGACACGCTTGGCGCGAGAGATAGTCTTTAGTACAGTTAAACAAAAGCAGTAAATTAGAACAATTATTGTTAGAATTAAGTACAATAATAAATGCTTTCATTTCAGCAATTGTGTTATCCTCGTAAAAGTAAACCACTACATAATTATATTTCCTGAAAACTGTAATCTATTTCGAAGTGATAGTTTACAAGGAGGAGTTGGAGGATGTCACACATTTGCCCACTGTAACGTAAACTCATTCTCATGAGTTGTGTCGGAACTCAAAAAACTACAAGATTCCACGAAGATCGTTCTAAAACCCTAAAACGCAGTTTCTTTCTACCCGGCCATGTTAATCGACAAGCTAACGCACCAACGGGGTATATGGCAATATTGTCAGAAGCACTTATCTGCTTCATCCCTTCCATTCTCAGGCAAGACTGTTTGTGGGGACTTCAACATACCTGAATTCTTGTGGTTTCTGATCAAACTGCCAAAGTGTTTTTAGACATAAATTGAGTGATTAGGGTTCTAAGAATAGATTAAAGTTTTCAACAGTCCTACCAGATATTAAAATATCTTAGACTTCGCTTTCACCAGTAATCTCATCCCCTATACCGCATACATTGGGAAAAGCTTCCAGGCAATGACCATAAAACCGCCACTTGTAGTCTCAATATAAAAACCACAGCTACGAGACCTAAGACCATTACCTTTCATCAAAACTATCAAAATGTGGGTTGGACAAACTTCCAAAGTTACCTCAGAAGCATTGATTAAGTTACCTTCTCTTTCATAAGTGCTATCAACAAACTAATAAACATATCCTATAACGAACGGTGGTCACAAAAGCAGGCATAAGATTTACTGAAAGGAGTTCGGCTGCTCGGTCATGGCTTTTTCATTGGTGGTGACCATTTTCGACGTTTCGGTAAACATTACAGTGTTACTTTCTGGTCCAGGAGATTTGTTCGACTACTAATAGATGGGTCAAATGGAATCACGACAGTTTTAAGGCTAAAGACCTTTGAAATTAGAAGATTCACCAGCCTCTGATTTTCTCGATACGTTATTATTTTCGCTCACCTTTAATAGGCTCAAAGCAGGTTATAGTTTTATGGCCTAACCATGATCAAGATGACCGTGAAGTACCTATGTTCGTAGTTGATCCTGATCTCTCAATAGATAAATCAGGTTCTGTATAACTAGAACAATCTGCGATTACGTCGTAATTTCGTCAGTATGTCCATGTGGTTATAGCACCCAGAATATCACAGTACATTTATCCATTATCATAGTTTTGTTGAATTACCACCAGAAAAATGAAATCGACGGAACAATTTGTAATAATATAAGCGCATAAAATATGAACTATATGTATCTAGTGAAATATAAGGTTTAAAAAGCGAATAACTTGAAACCTGTCTTCTGATTATCTTTTCTATGATTGATCATATCACCTAATTATCCGATGGCTGAAACAAATAAGAATGTAGAATGGAGTAAAACGAAACAAATCACACTCTCCCAATGAGGTAAGTCAATGTTATCTCAATCAGTAAAAGTCCCTTGGGGGTTTAATAAGATCGTATGGTACTGGTTCATATACACATTTCACTGATTTTTATTAAAAACACATTGGCACACTACCAGCAAGTGGAGGAAGAAGATATATCATCTGGTACTGGTGCTTGGCAGTGACAGCTGAGTCCATTAAAACCGTTGGTGTCACTTTTGCAGGTGTTTTTCTGGCAGATAAAAGATAAACTATCTGATCACTTACTCAGCGAAGGTCACATTGACCCCTCTCAACATGGCTTCATTACAACTAGGTCATGTACCACATGTCTGTTAGATTTCTTTAATGAGGTTACCAGCATACGCGATCAAAAGCAACTAGTAATCGTGTTGTATTTTGATATAAAAAAGGCTTTTGACAAGGTATCTCAAAATCTATTAATCAACAGTCTTCAGTCAGTCGGGATTACTAGCCACTTGTTGCAATGGATTAAGTCGTTCCTCGCAGATAGATATCAGATTACCAAAATCAACTTACATACATATACACCTCGACTAATTACCAGTGGTGTTGTGCAGGGCAGTGTTTTGGGTCCACTGCTTTTCATAATCTACATCAACAGCATATGCAGTTGTTTCAACACTGGTAAAACCTACCTCTATGCGGATGACCTAAAAGTGATTTATCAAACTAGCAAATCTGACTTAGGAAACTTGTTGCACACAATCCAGCACGAACTGAATACTGTAGATGTCTGTTGCAAGCAATGGAACCTTGAACTTAATACTGAGAAGTATGGCTGGATGTGTTTCGGAGACACTTCTCCCAAATTAGATCTCACTGTCTACAGGAATATATTGCCCAAACTCACATCCGTTACTGATCTTGGAGTGCATTATTCGCACAGCCTTAACTTCTCCGAACATATCTTCAATAAAGTTTCCAGAATGAGAAGAATGCTTGGTTTCATCTTTCGTAATTTCCTTCATAGAGAATAAAGAACAATTCTCTATAAAACATGCGTAAGACCTACTGCTGAAAACTTTTCTTTCTTATTTTCTAACTTACGCTTGTCTGATATGTTGAATCTTGAAGGAACACAAAGGAAATTTACTCGGAAAGTCCTAAATCATAGCTCACCCATTGACTATCCAACCCGATGTATTGAACTCGGGCTCGATCCATCATGGAAAAGGAGGCTTAAGTC